CCCCCCGGCCCCCCCGCTTCCGCCGCCCCTGAGGTAACAGGTCTAGAAAAGGAAGCGCCTTTTAGAACACCTTTTAGAGAGACAATCTCTTCCGCTGTTTTGAACACGAGTTGGAACTTTATCACGTACTCTATCTTCCACAGTGAAAAACTTCAAGCCTAAGACTACTTGAGCGTTTCGTTTTATCCTCTTTTCGGCTTTTTGCTTGTAGTGACAAGAGTGATTATTTGTGACAATCTCTAGTAAATGATCCTTTTTCGTACATGTATATATTTGTAGAGCGTTTTCACTCACATGAGAAGGCAGCCATAAACAATAGAAACTTTCTGCACAGTATTTGCATAAAAATAGAGTTCAATTCCCGGARGATAGAAAATGTATTGTTTTGGTACCCCATAATGGCCGCTGTGATGTCACGTGAAAACGCTCTATAGATATTCGTATAATAGTTTGCAATCTTTTTTTTCTTTTCTTTTGTACAGTACGCGAAATTCAGCTTTTTAGCTGCAAGGGCCGTTATTTCTTAATAAAAATATATCTATCTATCTAGATGGATCTTTACACTCGTTTTCTTTTGAAGGTGCCACCCACTCGTTAATATTTTTCCAGACAAAAAGTTTGGTTTTAGTTCCTTGTCAATCAAACTGTTCACCTGCATTCCTAAAGCCACGTTTAACTCATAATAAAAAAACTTGAAAATTTTCAGTTTTAGGGCTGAAAAGACGTTGCCTATAAATACATTTAATTTTTTAAACTTTATATTTATTTCATGTTTGATTTGATTTTCTAGATGAATTAATTTCATCCAAAGTTTGAGACAGACGAGTAATACCTAACTTGTTATCTGCAGAAATAGACCTTCTTACGGATACAGCGGCCATCTTGAATTCTATTATTTGAATCAAGAAATTAATGGTGCCGAGGGGCAACCATTAGAAAATGTATGGACTGCACAGCTGTCAGGGTACCTTTTTATATAACTTTACGCTTTTCAATGAAGCCCACATTTAAAAAGCTGTAACAAATTGACATTAATATTTTTTGTGTCTGTCCTCTGTCCTCAGCATACTACTTTGACAATGTGATGACGCAATTTATCGTCAATAAAAGGACAGACACATAAAAAACTGATGTCTATTTGTTGAATTGGCGATAATACAGTGCGTAATATAATATAAACGGTGCGATTTTTTATGCCTTAATAAYAATAAGGCGGAACTAAATATCACAATTTGCTTGGTTGATGCATAGCATTTATTAACTATGGTTGATGACACTAGTCGTTGTCACCGGACTGAGTCGGTGTTTTCGAAACGTGTGTGTAGCTTGCTTTAGCTTTACTCCTTGCTTACAAGTTGGAATTCAGATCTTTCGCTTATTGAAGACGGCTGCTTTGCTAACTTCCGTCACTTACACCATCTGGCTCTTGTCCACTCACCCACCAGGCTTAATCACCTCACTTTAAATCGTTTTCCGACCAGGTAATTTATCCTCTTTTTCTGCTACGGACTTCCGTGCCTTCTCTCTTTCTTTTTTTCGATTCTTTTTAAGTAAAAGGATTTAAACATACGAGTCACGTGAYAACTAATTTAATTACATCACAACTTCTTTTTTATTCCACCCAGTAGTTTCAGTCATTCAAACAACATATTGTTCATATTTTTCTGCTTCCTTTTCGTTCTTAATTAACTCATCTTAAAATCTTAATTCGTCTAGTGCTATCATATCTTCTTGACTGAGCCGGGGATATTGGAAATAACAAATATTTATTTTGACGAAAGAGTCTTGCTCGTCTAGAATCAGAATRGGCTATTGACTTATTTAGCCGTGAGGGCGAAAAGACTAATCGTTTTAGTCAAATCCAACTAGTCGGTCAAAGATATAGATGCAAACAAGTTTGGAATTAAAGTTAAAGTTACTTTTTTTGTTTTCAAAGTCGGCACTTTTTGTTACTAGTAGAATATAATTTGTAGCCTAGTAGAGGCTCATCCAATCAGAACACAGCATTGAGGATAGACCACAGGTTGGATTTGATTAAAAGTTAATATGTACCAACCATTCCGATGTGATCAAAAAGGAAAATATTTTAAAAGTAATATTTACACATTTTGTAAACATATTGAAGTCGACTTATTGCCCAATCGATTCCAGGTGATCTCGGGGAACGCGCGCAAAGGATTGTTGTAGTTGATCAGGCGGTCCTAGTTTCAGTCGTTTATCGGCGAACAAAGAGCTATCATTCCACGATAATTTCATAAAAGAATTGAAACCACAACACTCCATTTGACCCATAGGTATTCGTTATAAGAATAGGTAGAATGTTAAATGTATTGCTAGTCCATAACGTAGCTAGGGAAGCGAAGATTCAGAGTAATTGTTTCTCACTTTGATCGGCAGGTTTTTTTCGATGGGCCGCCTGACCAGATTTCTTCCTGCGCGATGACTGGCTGCACAGTAAATCGGATAGGGCGGTTTTGACCCTATAGTGGCCTCCTTAAAGTAGGGCTATTGTGGCACTACCGGTATTGTTCTATTTTGGCTTTAGTCTGGGCTAAAATAGCACTACTTAGAAAAAGCCAAAATGGCTCTCTGGGGCCAAATTGGTCCTCTCAAATTTACAGTGTGGTTTTTGATGGGCTGTCAAAACGAGATCACCTGGTTCATCCCAGACATCAGTTTCGGCTGCTCACTCGAGCACTACATGACACTAGAGAAAAACGTTTGCGCATGCGAGTATTTCAGCATTCCAGGCAAATTTACAGATGTTTTGACTAATTTGCACACTGATTCAGAGCATGCGCAGAAGGTTTTCACTTGTGTCGCACTACATTCCTTTCCAATTGTTTAGTTCAGCCAATGAGGATCTGGGACAAAAACTAATGACGGCTGCGGAGAGACTAGATTCATGATCGTCCTATTTGTAATACAAATACTTGAAATCGGCTTAGGTATAATAACGCCGGCGCCGTTTCTATCAATTTTAGAATCTTTATTTATATCCTTTTGGCGGGAAACTACTAGGTTACCATGGTTCGCGGAATGAACGATCTAATAAAGATTTCGCTATTTATACTCGCAAATCCACTTTTTGGTCGGTAAGAGTGTGTTTTGTTGTTGTTTTTTTTTATGCTAAAAGGAAGAGAAGCCATGTAGATTATTCCATGCGATGAACTCTAATCTCTGCCTAAATTGGCCTTTTAAAATCAGCCATTTCCGAATTTTAGATTCTGTTTCAGTGCGGCGTACCTTAGAAGTTCGAGAAATTTCAAGAAGAGGCTTGTTAATTTAGCGACAAAGTACTTGTGCGGATCACCCAATATCAGACGTATTGGCTCATACGCATTTTTTAATCCTTATACCAGCAATGAACCACAACTACAACATTGTTTATGCACCCTCTCACAGGAATATCAGAAGAAAGAAAAGCATAATCACATTCTAAGTGAACAGTATTTGTAAAATTGTGTGTTAATTTCGTTGCCGACCCAAACGGAGATTGCTTTTCTTCGGCTTTCCCGAGGGAGGTAGGGTCTGAAAACTTGGGTTACTCCCCGAGTCCATGTACACATGAACAGTTCTCATTAAAGTCCCCAAATTGCAAATATAGCCAAGAGTTTAAAATTTGGATAGAAAATAGTAAATCTTCCACTTTTAGTCTCAGTGGATGGTCTGTAACCCCAGTCCTCCCTCCCATCGAAACATTAGTCTCAATCCTCCTTTTCCACTCCATCTCCCGACTCCCACCCCCCGGGGTACGGTGAAGTCGACAACAGGTGCACAGTTGTCATTAAATACTTTCTAATGTCATTTTCGCTTTCATCCGTATGATATTTCAATTTGAAACAATTTAAACAGGTTTTGGAAAGGATATTTGAAAGGCTGTCTCCATTAGACTTCGACTATCTACAAAACATCACAGAAAACAACCAAGAGAAAAAAACAAATTATGAAATTCTAAAAGTTACCCTGAACAACCGAGACAGGTGATAAAATTGCTCTAATGTCTTGTTTCTTGCACGTAAATATGTTATTCATAAGGAAAAAATGAGTACTTTTAATATTAATTTTTTCAAAGTTGTCCAATTTTCAACATCAAAAGGTTTTGTTGTTGTTACTTTTTTATTTTTAATTTTTTCTTAAGAAAAGAAGAAGAAAAAAATACGGATAAGAAGGGAATGTCTCTCAATGTACAAATGAAAATGTTATATTTTGACAATCTTGGTCCAATTTCCGAAAAAAGAGATTTAATTTAGGAAAAATATTCATACATCATAGATGATTATCTCTTTAACGAAAATGTGCTTTCTCCTGTCTTTCTAACAGCTAAATGGATTCTTCTAATGATTGACAAGAGGCTTTTTTGAGAGCCAATCAGAGCTCGTTTCGAGCAAAACTTCTAATATTCAAAGTCGTCTCAAAACGAAAAATGCAAAAGGAAAAAAAACGACTTTGAATTAATATTTTTTACGCTTGTGATTAAGGTTTTGAATTTTTAGAGATTTTGGACAGACGATGATAAAAATAACCTAGTGAAGAAATAATTTTCAAATACTTTTTTTATATTTAAGAATATAAGCTGTATAAAGAATAAATGACTGTTTTTTACGCGTAAGTGTTGATATTTTGGCCATGATACAGATAGCTAGCTCTTTATATAAAATATCACAACCAATCTTATATCTTCAGATTAATACACATCCCAAACGGCTTATCGCCAAACTTAAATTCCTGGCTTATCGACGACTTCTAGAACTTTGTTATTTTATTCTTTATGATTTTTCTATTTTAAACCCCAATCTTGATACGTTTTGCCTAAGAATGCTGAATCTAGGAACAAGTTTTTGGGAAGAATTTCGCGTAAGTGTGGATTGGTTTATAGGTTAATCTTGTCCTTGTCAACAACTCTGCTGAAACTTGATATCGCTTTATTTTGTAATCTTATCTTTTTTATCCTAAATACCATTCTTTAAAAATGCTGTAAACAGAAACAACTTTTTGGGAAGCTAGAATTTCGCAAAAAGCGTGAATTGGTTTAAGAGCTCATCTTGTTCAATGAACGGATTTCTCTGCCGGATTCAGTGTATCTACAAACTGAATACTTCTCAAAAACCCTATCTTTGTCAAATAAATCTTACTTCTAAGTTAAAAATAAATAAAATAAGTAATAGAATTGTATTGTTTATATTTTGGCGAGAATTAAGGGGATCTTCTATCGCGAAGACAAATTTTTGAAAGTGAAGTGTTTTCTATTTTGGCGAAAATTGAGATTTTTTTCACGAATGTAAATTCTTAATTCTAAACTTGATTTTCACAATAAGAAAAAGTAGTTCATTCATGGTTATATTTGCTAAATATTCTAGCTTACCTTTGGCTTACTATATATATCATGGGATAAAAGTTGAACGTTTCGTGGTTAGGTCTTCTATTCTATTTAGAGCATCCTATTTTGCAGTCGTCAAATTCTGACTCCAGTGATATTGATCATGATCAGGTGGTCGCGCTGTGTGTCTTGAATTAATTTATTCCTACATGCATGCAAATAAACAAGGTATTGAATATGCCCAAGAGTTATTCTAGGGGCAGAGYCAACAAGCTAGTAAGGTGATAATGAATATTCGCTAGAGATTAGATTTTATGTTCAGCAAGAATCAATATGAAAAATAAATTATTTTGGTATGTTATTACTTCCAGCCCCTGTCAACATACGCTGCTGCATAATATATAAATGAATATATATACATATATATATACAAGGTGGACATTGTTTATTGGTTTTTAGGATTTCAGTTTCAAGTGTTTAGCTTTGAATTGGAATTAATGATGGGTAATTGAAACGTTTGAGTTGTTATTGCGACTACTTTTCTTAATTCTGTCGTTTTAATTTTTGCATGGAAAGATTGTCCTTTCCATCTTGACGTTTTTTAAGAAAAGGTTGAAAAGATGGAAGACAAGAGTCCATATTTAAAGTAGGCTTGATGTTTGGTTTAAGAAAATATCTATATTGCTTGTGAGAAATACTTGGAGAACTTACACTCCACATAAAAGCTCGTTTTTATTTCATATGCCCTAAATCTAGTTTCTCTTCCCCTCTCTCTCAAATACACATACATATCTTTTTTTCGCGGTTGAAGAGTTCAACAAAATAAATACATTCTTAAGTTCCGTTTTACACGAGCGATTAATTGCGGCGATTTTGGTCACAGTCAAGAATATTAAAGGATCAACTTGTAAAGTTTTCTTCCGGACTGACACAGATTACCTTGACAAATGATCTTTAGAAAAAGACAAAATTAATTATACTTTCCAAAACCGCCACAAAAATTGCACCTCGAAAAATATAAATAAATAATAAATACATATAAGTTGTTTATAAAATAACAATAACAATAACCACCATCAAATCGAGAGATAACGYGAGCTCTGATTGGCTAGAAAACGTGTTTATTAATTACGGGAACTTCACGGAAATTTCAACACGAAAAATGATAAAAATTTCTTACCCATATTTAGAATCTTAACAACTAATTTTTTGGYGCATTTTGATTGTCTTTAAATAAGTTATATAAAGAAAATCAGGCAAAGACAGATAATTACAATTGTTATGTGTACTTTGACTGAAAAATCGCACGAACGTCTCGTACAGKTCAGTCATAGTTAGTAGGTACTCGTAATGTTTAGAAAATTCTTAAGTGATTGCACTCACCTAAAGCTAGCTCTTGCAATTACAAGCAGTTTCAAAACRTCACGAGCTCGTACCTATTCGAATTATGCTGAAGTTCATGCAATTTCCTATACGAATATAACAAGGATATTTTGACAATAACCTGTATTTTTGGCGCCAAATTTCCTTGAAGTGTTTCCGTGACGCATTTTCTCTTGATTCCTATTAAAAGTACTGTTAAAAATATTTTTTTTTAGATGAATAAAAGTATTAGAACCTAAAACTCCAATAGTTGAAGGTTGTATAATAGGAAATTTGAATTTTATCGGAATTACTGTTTGTCTACTTCGAATGTTCGATTTTTGAGCCCACGAGCGTGCGCGCAAAACCGCTGAATTGTGATAGAAACTTTCAATATTTTAGGAACCATACGTTTTATCATTTTATGCTTCCAATTTGCAAAACCCTAAAAGATTTTCAAGGACTTCAAGCCTGTAAAAAAGAAATCTTTTCGCCAAAGTTTGAGAAAAATATAATTATTCAAACTCACAGCGTTGTGTACGTTTTTGTGTTTTATGTTTTGAGAACGAATTCCGATTCTTTGAGAAAACGATTGCTCAATTKTGGTCTTATTTACAAAAATTCGCTCAAATATTTTTATTCAACTCTCTAAGATAAATTTTAAAGTAGATGTTTTGAGAAAACAACCCAGACACTACTGATTTTCGAGCCATGAATTGTTTTGTGTGAACTGAACTTCATTTTTTATTTTTATTTTTTCAAAGACTTGTCAAGATGGTAATATTCAATATGATTTCAGTATCGTTTTTAATTTTTAAAGAATTCTGTGTGAAAGACTTTAATATAGATGTATAGACCATATGAAAAACGATTGTAAGACTGGGAACAAGCACCACGACAATTAATGATTTCAAAAATATATTTTCATTACAAGGAAAGACCATGTCTATGTTTAGTAATTTCTCTCGGAAACATTTTTTTTTTCATATATTAAATCCCTGAAGAGTTATAAGTATTTGAAATGTACCGAAAAGATAGCGAGGCCTTTAGGCCCTTGGTCGTGTCTCCATGCAGGCAAACCTTTCAAATTTCAAACAGCWGTAGCTTTTTATCTTTTAATGTTATTAGACAGCAGAAATTTTGGAAGATCACTAATTTTGATATGAATCCTCTTTCTAATGAAAGCATTGTTGTCTTCTATAGCTGATGAACTAGGGTGCTTCAAGACACGCCCTTTTTCATATGGTCTCGATATTTATTTCTGCTAGTCAGCTCATCYATGATATTAGATTAAAATTATTAAACTGAATCAAAAATCTAGCACGAGCGACTGAAGTTCTCTGGAATAAAGCGTTGAAAATTCCATTAAACCTTACAGTAATTTCTACCGAATTTTCTTATTACTGATAGGTTGCAAACATTGCTAAGAGAGCGCAAAAAACCAAAAACATGACGTCCATTGTGGTGCCGTTACTGACAATGGATGCTAATGAGAARTACTTTGTTAAATGGCACGAAAGTGTTAAGAGATGGCGTAAAGTGCAATCGAAGAATTGCGAATGGTATAATAGGAACAGACRACGTATAAAGCCATTAAGTTATTCCTATAGTAATAAATGTTTTTGGCGATCCGCGTGTTTGTACCATTAGTGCAGTTATCGTATGACTGTGAAAAGCTCAGTGCCGTAAGCGTGACGTGCCGTGACCGTGATGCTTTCTAGGATTTTAATTGGCTGATTTTTTTCACGCGCAATGTGATTGGTCTAAAAGTGCCATGATCTTGGCGTGACCGTGTCCGCGCCGTGTTTGTGCCGTGTTCCGGGTAGTTGATTGGATGGAGAGTAAATTCTCGTGCAATGTGATTGGTCTGGCGTATCCCTTGCCGTGTCACGTTCTTGTTCGTGCCGTGAATTTTTCACAGTCATGCGAAAACTGCACTATACATGAAGTACCATTCAACTTTAAAAAAAGATTAAAAAAAAAATAGCAGTGCCATTTCCACAGAGTGGCTCTTCATCCATTGAGAGTGGCTCTTCCTCTATTGAACTTCGCAGTCGAGTCTGAATCTTGAGACATCGAACGTGACCTATCAAATTTTGTTTACTAGCATCAAGTATTTTCTCTTGCTAGCATTTATGAGGTGCGCGATCTGATTGTTTGAGAGTTTGCAAAACCTGAAGACAACAAAACTTGTTAAAACATTGGAAAATACGGCATCAATATCTTCAYTTGCGAGGATATGGAAAATATGCTGGGATGTAGTTCGTATCAAAAACACGAGATTCTAATGTGTCTAAAATAAAGGAAATAGGCAAAATCAACTGGCTCTTCTACACCAAATGCTCCTTTTTTTTTTTTTTACCTTCAACTTACCCATGTCGYTGTGCATAGAGGTTCAAGTGGTACTTTGAATAATTCCCAGTGCAGTATTTATAAATTTAGAAAGCTCTTGATTCTGTTAATTAATTAATCTGCCGGTGCTTTAATTAAACTTAAACAAGAGGTCTCAAAAAGAACGGTTGTATTTAATCGGAAGGATATAGATCTGCATGGTATCGGTTAGAATTCTTGCTATTTTTTAACACTGCATTTGCTATTTTTATCCCCRCCGACTGACAACAACCTAAAAATAAAATATCTTAAAATATCTTGGATTCAGCTGAAAAGTTCCTAAGAATACTCTTTAAAGGTCCAATAATCACTGTATGAAGTRTTTTCTCGATATTCAGAACGAAAGTATGATATTTTTACGATTATTTTTTGGAATCTGTGACGTCATACACTCAACATCGAACATCACTCCATAATGAAATGTATAGTGGAGCGATGTACGATGTTGAGTGTATGACGTCACAGACTCCAAAAAAATAATCGTAAAAATATCATACTTTCGTCCTGAATATMGAGAAAACACTTCATACAGTGATTATTGAACCTTYAAAGAGTATTCTTAGGAAGTTTCAGATGAATCCAAGTTTGAGCGATTTTCGTYAGAGTAGCACTTTAAGGTGATTCGATCGTGCAATTTTTACTCGATGAGTTTCATTTTTCTTTAAAATTAAATGGCACGAAGATAGCTTTTTAGCACTAAGGATAGAACACCAAAATATATAAAAATGGGGTCACTGAATT